AGCTGTTGCATACTCTCCACTACTGTACTGCTTCTCGTATGAAGTCCTTGATCTGCTGTGACTCCTCCACCTTATCGCTTGCTGCTTCTTTAAAGCAACCCTCACACATGAATTTAGAAGGTAGGGCTGGAGTACCACAAGACCAACAGGATCCCACCTGCCAAATGTGGAAGCGGAGAATGAGAGCTTTCTCTTCTGGATCTCTCAGCATGACAACTACTATGAGGAGAGAATGAAGCACAAAGGTTTTTTGGGGGTTTTTTTTCATACATAATCCACATTGCTTAAAGAAAATCCATACCTGGAACCATCCGATTTTCAGGCCTCGGGTTCTGGAGTAGGATTGCTCATGGTGAATACTGCAGCAGACGGCTTACATCAAAACCACAGATAAAAACACCACCCCCATCATATACCATCCACCTTCACTTACCTGCTGCCAGCAAATCCAGATCTGTCCCCCAGCATAAGGAAAAGAACCCCACCAAACAGAAGACACCTGCTCATTTAAGCAGCCCAGGAAAGATGCCGGGCTGCTCTCCACATTCTATCCCCGTGGAAACTTGAACTTCTGGTTTGCGGCGGAAATGATGTTATTCCCGAACGGCCGCCATCTTGGAACATGACAGGAGCCCTAACAGGAAACCACAGGAACGAACGAAGCAGGAGGGGGTTCCACCTGCTTCGTACACAAGACGGAAATAGTTAACCTCATGGTGGGTAGGAACTAGAGGAGGCAGAAATGGGATTAGGAAGCCATTATTATTAATAATAATAATAATAATACACTGCCCGTCACAGGGCACTCCCAAAATAGAGGATTTGCCTCCTGTCATGGAGTCTTCCCACCGGGAGAGATTCTGTGTCCTCAATCTCTTTTTCTATTTCAAAAAAGGGAAATAAAAATAATATTTACAAAAAAATGTTTGAAAAGGTTAGAAAAAATAAATAATTTTCAATATCGGCCTCACAAATTATTTATTTTTTGGTTTTGGTCTGAAAATTCCATTTCGGTTCACCTCTAGTTGTAACGCTTCACTACTCCATCAGAAATAAAAAAGTGGCTTTAGATGCGTTTTAAAATTGATGTTGATTACACAGCCTTCAAGTGAACCTATGGGTTGTCCATGCAGGACAGAGCGGGTAACAGGTTCACTTTAATGACCCCCTCCTATCTGCACATAGTATCCCACCATCTGTGTAGCCACTGGGAATGAAGTGCAAAAGACCTGTGTACGTTTTGAGTTGCTGCAGTGGGAACTTACACAGGCCTGAGGACTCTTCCTGCCCCAATGTGATACCATGGGACCAAGCACCAGTGCTGTTGCATGGTTTTTTTCTCTGTACCCAGAAGTACCAGATATTTTCTTCATTCCTGGTGACTGAACCGAGCTACAGGGGAGGCCGGCACAGGTATGCTTTTAGCTACTCTAAACATCAGATGCCCATGGTTCAGCTCATCTGCTTGCAGTGGCATCAGGAACCATCTTCCTGTCTATGCGTACCAGTGAATACACTGTCTCCATTGCTCCATGGAGGTAACTGTAACATTACACATTGCTCCCCCCCAGTGTTCCACACCTAGACCTCTGGAGTTCTTGTTTAAGGGTGTAGCTAACAGTGGATGACGATCTTGAAGGGATCCACCATACTGCTTGTATGCAATTAGATCTCCCTGACCGGGCTGACCAATAGATGTGGTGCACACTCATTCAACGGGCAGAAACCTTTTTTTTATTTCAAAATGTCAGAGTGCATAACCCATCTCATCCTACCATTCTCTCTGTTGTATAAGTGTGGTAATCTCTCCAGAAAGAAATCCTTTTTCTCACACCTTGAGAGTTGTAGCATCAGAAATAGTTGATGTCTAATAGGCATAGATAGGAGTGGCACCACTGCTGCCACCCATTATAGGCATAGATAGGAGTGGCACCACTGCTGCCACCCATTATAGGCATAGATAGGAGTGGCACCACTGCTGCCACCCATTATAGGCATAGATAGGAGTGGCACTACTGCTGCCACCCATTATAGGCATAGATAGAAGTGGCACTGCTGCTGCCACCCATTATAGGCATAGATAGGAGTGGCACTACTGCTGCCATTCAAAAAGTGGTAAACTTCTTTAAAGCTTAAATTGGGAGATTTTGCCTCACTTCCTATCTCTGTGGCACACATACAAGAAATAAGAGAGGAAGGCACGGAAAGTAATACAAACTTGTCAGAAGGTTCAACATTTCCCCACTGTCAATGTGTGTTTGTCTAAGCCCTGCCAATCACTTCCTCTCGACAGGAACTGCAGGAAAACCTCTCCAGTCGGGTAGTTAATAATGATATTATTTTACAGGATTTATATAGCAGTCTGTGCGTGCTGTACAATATAAAGGGTGACTGTACAGTTACAATACAATTCAATACTAGAAGGTTAGGAGGGCCCTGATCCTGAGAGCTGACAATCTATAAAGTAAAGCAAGTGATACAAAAGGAATGAGTTAATAGAGGAGGTAAAATTTCAATGGTTAGAGGTGGGAATAGATGAGTTTACAGAGTAGAAGATAGCCGGACAGGCTGGGCTGGAGTTGGCTTTCAGTGCAGCCTGTTGCCACTCTGCCATCACTCTTTGGCTTGGTGTACACAAGATGCTGTTACATGGCTTGTGGGAGATATTTTCATGTTCTTTTCCCATTGATTTGTAAAAAGGAATACAAATCTGTAACAAAAGTAACAATTAACACAAGTGTTTGTTGCGTACAAAGGTTGAATTTATAAATCAATAGTCAAAAATAAATAGAAGATGCTAACCTCAAATGGAAGTTGTCTGTATTCAGATTTTGTTTCTTGTTTATTTTATAACTTAAAGCACACTTGTTATATAAAATAGACAACCTCCATGTATTGTAACAAGTGGTGCACCGAAATGGAAATTCTAAAACCGAAATAAAAAAAAATGTCAGGCCGATACCAAAAATGTTTTTATTTTTATTTATTCATTTTTATTAAATATTTTATTTTTTACTTTACTTTTAGTGGCTTCTGGGAAATATTGGGGGTCTAAACAGATAGCTGATATTTCCCTTTTAAAATAGAAAAAGAGATTGAGAACACAGAGTCCTCAGAGACACAGAGTCCTCAATCTCTTTTTCTGTGTCCCCCGTTATCAATGAACTGGAATCCTCCTATGAGAGTTCCTGTTCATTGATAACATGAGAACATTGTTTACTATAACCACAACTAGAATTGAAGTGGGGGTGATGTAGATGTGATTCATAATTGAGGATATAGTTAACATTCCATGTCCTCAATTATGTACACACACTCAGCGATCACTGATCACCCGCTTTTCTCTCTGACACGCTGTCACAGGAGGCTGAGCGAGTGGTGCGGGGAGGAGAGCTCAGCCTCCTGTGACAGCACGGGCTGTCTCCGCCCCCACACCGCGACTGTGATAGGCGGCTGAGCGGTGTGGGAGGAGAGACGCCGGCCGCTCACATCGCTCTCGTCCTGCAGCGCTCGGCCGGCTGTCACTTTCTTTTCTCCCCGCTGCTGGAACAGCGCCCAGCGGGGAGAAAAGAAACCAGGGATGCGCCGATGTATTGGCCGAAACATGGCTCTTTCTGCATTATGCCAAAAGTGCCATTTTCGGCCGATATGTTTTGGCGATATATCGGTGCATCCCTAATTGTAACCATACTCACTGTCACCACTCCTGCCTCCCCAATCCCCTCTGCAGTCCACTGTCATTCCTGGGAATGGGACATGTGTACAGGCCCATTGCTCTCTTACAATGCAGTGCGTATTGCAAGAGCAGCCAATGGCAAGGCCCAGATGCTGTCATATGATGGAGGGGGACATGAGAATCGACTGTCAGGAAAAGCTGTTACCGTAAGCCAAGCCTACAGTGGGTGGTCAGCACACAGTGTGGGTTTTCTTCCATTACAGGTGTGCTTTCAGCTTTATGTATGATGTCTATATGGAATGATGACATGGCAGAATACATGTCTGTAATGTCACTGTTAGTATATAAAATAACTAATTATGTATGTAAAAAATTAATATTCATTTTAAATAAGTTGTGCTTAGGTATAATCATTTTTATACTCATTTATGTTTTTAGGGGCTTAAAACCGTTTTGGTGGTTTTTTTTTTTTTGTTTTTTTTTTAGTAATTTCAGATTGGAAACATTTAAAACGCCTGTCTTTTTATTTTATTTTTTCTGGCAATCTGCATCCCATTGGGGAGATGTGTCTTCACTTCCTGTCCTATAGATACAACAAAAAGTGAGAGGAAACCCACTCTTAGACAGTTGTCATCAGAACAGAATTTTCCTTTATTCCTGTTTTATGGCAAAGGCTTTGGGTTTCCCATTAGGGGTACCAGGATAGAATAGGGTGACTCTATCCAGGACACAGCAATAGAAACCTAGTTCTACGCCCACACCACTCTTTAGATACAGTTTAATCTGCTCAGCGTTCATATTCTTGTTTTTGGGGATGATTTTCCCTTAGCTTGCTAAATGTGGTGAAAATTACCCAATCACATGCAGGAAAAAAAAAAGAAGTATTTTTCTTGCACATCATTGGATGTTGGAAGTCTGCAGAACTACTTCACATTCTTCAATTCCCTTTGTAAAGTGGTCAGTATTTGCTGATTTTCCCTTCTGGCATGCTACAGCTGCTTATATATTTGGGACTGCACTAGATCATTAAACCTTCCTGGCGGTTTGTCTAACCTTCCTTCTGCAGAGAGTTATATTGTTTGGTTTTAGGCCAATCCAGTTAGCCTGGCTCTTCTTCCCCGAGTTTTGCACCATTGGGAATAATCTGGTGCTATAGGTGTCAGAAACTTGAAGCTAACCAAACCCGGAGGGAAATCTCCCCTATATCACACCACTGTCCACCCACTTCTGCTGTATCAGTGATTGACCAGTCTAGACTTGATATGTGTATTTTAGTTTCAGTGCTTTATTGGTGATTTGATTCTCCTTTCTCTCTTTCCTTCAGCGATTTCCTAGTCCCAGATTACTTGAGCCAGGAGCAGGAAGAGGCGCTTGGGCAGTACGAACTGGCAGAACATGGCTTTGAAAACAACTCTTCTGTCCAAATGCCGGTCATCTCCCAGGTCTCCTCTACACAGAACTGTGAGAGCACTTTCCCCCTGGGCTCCCTGGGCAGCCTGGCCGAGAAAGAGGGGGAAGAGGAGGAAATGACGGAATCTGTCAAGGCCAGCCCTATGGATGAGAGCAGCAGAGATGACACCCCCAAAGCAGAGGCATCTTCCATTGCTGTGGAGTAGTCTGGATATACGTGTCCTGCACCCTGTGAGAATCTGCTTCGTCTTTATTCTTTTCCCCTTGTTTGGGAAACACCTGTGATTGGTCAATTCTCGTTTACCTTCTGTTTTCTAAGAAAAGTAAATCAAGCTCCTGAGGATATCACGTGTCCACCTCCAGTCCCAATCAGTCAGGAACCTTGGCTTCTTTTTATTTTGTGTGCTGTGCCTGGATCCAACTGCTGCACATTTCAAGAGTGTTTCTAAATCATTTTGTTATATGTAACCTTTCCTGCAGGAGGATGGCTGCGTATATGAAGAGGAGGATGTGACTTTCATGTGGCTGCTCCCTGGTATGGGGTGATAGTTTGCGTGCAGGGACAGTTGCCCCCAAGGCATCCACATTGGTTCTGACCCGTGTGTACTGCAATGGGAATGCTTTTTTCCTCATCGTGCTGCTCAATCAGAACTCAACAACTTTCTGCTCATAATAGGAAGCTTGAAACTTTCAGTGTAATTGTATTACATGATTGGAGTGTTTTCTGTTTTTGTTTTTGTTTTTTCATTTGAGAAGTGACCTGTATTGTCTCACTGGGACTGCTTTGGTACTGAGTTTTTATCTCAACCCATATATGCTTTTCTGTGTGGTATTATTTTATTTTTTTTAATTTTCAGAAATGATTTGACCAAATGTATTCACCAGCAAACAAGTGTACAGATCATCTCTGAACAGAATGAGTATAATTTGATATACTGTCAGCCTGAGAGATGTATGGACATCCTAGTCTATTATTCTGTAGCTAATCTAACGTAACCTCTCTACTCAGCAAGCACAAAATGTTTGTCCTCGGGTGAGCCGCACTAAGCTAAATTTTAATATTTTATGGTTAATATTTTACTGATAGTTCAGCTGCTGTTGCTATATATTGATATTACTTGTGTTTTTTTTCCTTTTTATTTACTAACCTTTTATAATATATAAAACTAATTCTCCTACTTTATAGGAGTTTATTCTTGTTTTAGTTTATTTTTGTAAGTCTTACCTGTAGGCAGGTTTGGGGATTTTCTGATTCAGAAAGAGATTGGAAGAGGTGTACTGCCAGATTTTACAAGCACTGTTGTGTCTGTTGGTGGCTTCAGGCATTAATCAAATAACCGTGTATGAGAGGCTTCATCTTACGTTAAGGAAGGGTGTCAGCTCGGGGAAGGAAAACAAATGTTATGTATTATGAAAGCCTAACTAACTAAAAATAAATCAAAAGGTTCCTATGACACGATTTTGGTAGGTTTAAAGGAGATTGAAAGGTGTATAGCCAGCTTGAGTGTTTACAACTCAGGATTTTCCCTCTTTCGTTGTATTTAGCAACCAAAAGTCTGAAGGGCTGTGTGTGTAGTCACTCTCCTTTACCACTTTGTCTGCCAGTAATACATTTTAGTTTAAAAAGATGTGATTCCTAAAATGAAACAGAATTAGGCTTGCCTGATAAGCCAAAGAGCGAAGATCAGCAGCCCAGTCAGCAGAATTTCCCATTGGTTATTGTGATGAAATCTGGGTTCCTGCACCTTGCATGATATCTGTGCCCCGCTGCCTTATTAAAACAAAGCTCAACGACAGACGTGTTAACGGGATGAGGATCCAAAACAGGAAGATTAAGACTTTAAATCCAGATTACAGAGACCGCGCTTGGTCAGTCAGGGTATCCCCGGAATAATTTAAAGAATGAGAGAAGTATGAGAGCACGGGGGATGCTATGCGAGTCTTTTCCTGTATTGACAGTAGAGAGAAGCGTGCCGAACATTCGACCATAAGCAGATATCACAGATTTCTTCTGTCTCTGCTTTCCGCATAAGCCCCGATAAAGGGAGACCGGCTACCCTCTGAAATGCGTTGGCTCTTTTTATGTGGCTTTCTGTCGTGTGCAATAAGGATTTATCCAGGCTCAAATGCTATCTTTGGCGCTTTCTTCCTTCTCACACTCTTTATTAAATAAGCTGGCATCTCTGTGCCACCAACGAAGACACAGTAATTGGGGGAGATGCAAGTTTGATTGAAGGCCAATAATCAGGGCTGGATAAGTGCCAGGAGCCAGATAGCCGGTGTGCCTAAATAGTTGTAGTTGGCAGTCAGCAGTTCAGCTCCTTTCTGTTATTGATTGAAATATCCTTCCTCCTGTGAAGCCAGTATCTAGAGGCTGGCAATAGAGCACACTTGCCACCGGCTGGATACCTCTGCTCTAGGTTTCTAGTCTAGATGGGATATGGCGGGGCATTCCCATTCTTGTAGTTCTTTTACATCTGGCAGCGCTCTGCCTATGTCTTTTCAGAGAGTTCCTCTCAAGGCCTGGTCACCCTTGAGATAGAATGGATTAGGATGATGGTTCATTTTATGTCTCCTCCACTCTATTTTTCTTATTTGTGGCTCATTTCAGAGAGTAAGAAGTGTTTGTGGGCTTGGCTGCTATTAAAAGTCACACATCAGAGGGTGGGGAAGGAAATGCAAGGATTTGGCAGTCAGGGGCACCCTGAGGATCCAGCCGCACCAGGTTTTAATGCTAATAAGCTTAGTGGGGGGTCTCCGTGGATGGGTGCGGCAGTTTGACTCTTCGGCTGTGGGTTGGCAGGAATTTTTACTCTCTTGCGGTCATTTTGTTCTACCAACCAGCAGACTGATCTATAAGATCTCAATGTTACACTACATAGACTAGAGTATTATTACACCTCAGTATCACAGAAATGGCAAATACTAGACATTTGTGCTTCATATGCCATGTCTACAATTGCTCATTTCTTTATACTTCTGGCTGTCATAGTGACAGCCGTGTCAGGATTTCGGTACACAACTGATCCCCTGCAAGTCTTCTCATAGATGGAATGATTTTTGTAAAGATTCAATGAATATAAATATTCTTTGAATGTTGAGGTTAGGTTCACACCTGCACTACACCGCACGACACCCGGGGAGCGCTATCGTGTGCTAGTGCACATAGCCATTGCCGCACGGCCCTAATTGATTTCAATGGGGTGACATCCGCGTGGCAATCGTACCTTTTTTTTTTTTTTTTTTTTTTTTTTTGTTCCGCACCCCCGCTGTTTTTT